CAGATTCGCGGTAATTTAGCACACGGTAAAAATTATCGCTTAATTTGATTGATTATTTACCATAAAAAGTTAATTTTTGTGTTCATTCTATATATTTAAAACAAAACAATCTATAAAAAAATAATACAGTGGAACCTCTTTAAGTCGAAGTACCTATTGCCAAAAAAATTATTCGAGTTATCGAGATTTCGAGATATAATAGAATATTACTTTTCTACAGATTGTTTTATTTTAAATTTACAAAATAACACAAAAATTAACTTCTGATGATAAATATAAAAATAAAGTAGAATAAGAACGTGAAACGATGATTGTTATATAAACGATAAAAAATTCTAGATTAAAATTTATATTTTTTGTCGTTTAGCCCTGCTTGGTTAATGATTAATTTCTAACATAATTTTTGGTTTTGAGAAAGTATCTCTTGGAAATTTTCAAAAACTTATTTTACTGTAAAGTGCCTTTTATGTGGCAAATACTACAAAGTTATTAAAAAAAAGTTGTTCAGAATCAACATCTAAGCCCCTATTACAAACAAAATCACCAGCCAACTAAGATTTTTCATTTTTTATGTTAATAATGTTATTTTTAACATCTCTTTAGATTATTACTACCAATACCTTTTTAACGTATCTGTTATTAAAAAGCATAACTATTTTGAAAAAAATCACAGTTGACCGATGTTTTTAAAATTATGATGTAAGGGCCTAGATTTTGATTCTAAACAACTTTTCTTAATAACTTTTTTTCATATTGCTACATAAAAGACTCATACTTAATTTTTTTAAACTAAAATAATGTTACAAATTAGTCTTTAACTAAGCAGAGCTAAACCCCAAAAAATGAGTATTTAAATCGAGATTTTTTATCTTTTACAGAAATCGTTTGACCTTTTCGGAGACACCCTGTATACATTTTATTCATTTGTCTTCGGAGTAACAGAAAAAAACTTTTGAGCAAACTCAAGACATTCTGCAGAAATTAATCTAATGCGCATAAAGTAAAATTGCGGGAATTTAAAAAAACATCGACTTTTGGAGGTTTATATGTAGCTGAGGAGACCAGAAATCTGTTCAACTTAAAACGGAATTGGACTCTGGCGCTGCCAATCACTTCGACTTAACAAAATTTAGAGATATAGAGATTCGAGTTATCGAGGTTTTATTGTATTCTATATCTCGAAACCTTGATATCTCAAATAATTTTTTCGGCGTCAACTTCAACTTAACGGGATTTCACTGTAATCAATGTGGTAAAATTTATCTGGTTACTATTTGCAAATTTTCAAAACTATCAAAATACGGGCAATTATTTAAAAAAAAAATCACTGACTTCGAGTACAGAGAAAAAAAATCATCGAAATTTGCGTTCAATTATTTATGACGAAAACTTGGATAAATAGGAACTAATAATTTTTTTGGTACTAATCAATCTGGCTAAATTTTTCAGGTTACAGTTTGTATATAACTTCAGGACTATTAAAATAAGGGCAATTATTTAAAAAAATCATTGGTTTCTGGAGTAGGATTGTTTCGAGTACAGTCCTCGGCTAAAACGGTTTGCATAAGTGGATTCCCGAAGTCATTTTACACAACATTTCAATGTTTGAACCACTAGGAAATTTTGGTAAGAGTCTGGCGAGTGTTGCATTACACGCCATAATGACAGCAATCATCAGCGAAACTTGAAATAATAAACACGTATTCCTGCCATAACTCGCATCCTGCGTCCACGAAATCATGATCATCGATCATTTATGTTAAACGAGAGTTGAATTCGAATCCGCAAGAAGCTTGACAGGAAGTGCCATTATGTGTGTTTTACCTCGGTTCAGCTGCACTTATATCCCGGCTATTTTCGTCCACACTCCAATGAACATTTCCACAAAACGGACCTGAACCTAATCTCAAAATCTTTCCTAATGATGGATGAGCCGCTCCTTACTCGGAATCTTTCTAGGGCTGGTCATGCGGAGTGCTAAACATCTGTCAACGTCGACGCAACTATTGTGGTCAACAAAAGAGAAGTCTTCATAGACGTGGGTATCCCTTGTGCAAAAGAAAATCACACGGACTGAGGTCAGGGCGGTTTGCTGGCGTGGCCTTCGATTTTAATGTCTTTATTACCGATGGACGATTGGAGGCTGCCCCTCCAGGCTGGAATTATAGCATTTTTGTTTTTTTGTTAGTTCTTGAAGGACGGTAGTGATATTATCGGGGACTCAAAAATTACAGTAATTTGTGTTGGTGTATCTTGACCAAAGATCTTCGAGTTTAACAGCTAGTAAAAGAGATTTCGTTGAAATTTTGCCATTTTCTTCGCTCTCTAATCCGTATTAAGAGCTTGTAATTTGAAATCAAAGTTGTCAGTTTCCCATTTCGTAATTGGTCGCTTTCTAAATGTGCGTGGTTGCCTTTCCCTTTACACAATCGGAGGTGCTCTAGAAAGAGGGCCGGGCCCCCCGCGGACCCACTTCGAGGGTCACTCTTCTGGTCCACTGGAGGATATCCTAGACACGTTCATAACAATAATGCATCCCCCATCTGGCAACCATGCACCGAAAAAGAGACGGCCACAACAACACGAACCGGAGGAACAAGAAGAGAACAACACGTCGTAAAGATAGCCAGCTGCTGGCATGGGCGGCGACCCCGGCAGGGCCGAAATTTTACAAAAACAAATATATAAATAATTTTATTTTCAAAAAAAAAAAATAAAACTAATTTTGAATTACATTGAAATGTGGAAGAATATTATTTCAAATGTTCAATTCTGTTGTTTGAGTTTAAAATTAGAGCAAACTGAATTTTGGCCAACAAGCACCGATTATTTATCATGGCTACAAAGATTTCGCAAATGTATGACATTTAAATTTAATTTTACTTTTTTATTTTTATTTAGGTGAGTTCAAAATCTGTTCTGACAATAAATTATAAACTATGATTAGATATACTCGTAAATATTTTAAATTATTTGTAATATTTTTTTACGTAATATTGCAAAAATGTGAAATTCCAGAATGACTTTATTTTTACTTTAAATCAACGTTTAAAAGCAAACGTTATACATTTTTACAACTTCCCCTACAAAGTAGTTAACCCAAAATAAAAAAAACTTTGTTATAACTAGAGAAATTTATTTAAAATCAACCATAATTAATTATAAATTATAGTTTCATAATTATGAATCCATCTGTCCACCCATAAATTAATAATTAATTCATTAATAATTACTGATATTAATAAAAGTAGTATTGGTTTCCGAGGTTAATAATTAATATAAAAACAAACTATAAAATCATAGCAGGTCTGTTTTGCCACATATGTAAAGATATCCTTTTTTTTCATTAAGGCAGCTTTCTATTTCTTTGTAGTTTTTTCCTAAAATAACATAAATTAAAAAAAAAAATTGATTCCAATTTTCATTTTTTAAGTTAAAAAATTACAGAAATTGAGGAATTCATCAAAAGAGAGTGATAAATAAAATAAATACTTAAGTAAATACATAAATAAATAAATAACACAATTGTAAAAGTTGAAAAAAGCCAAAAATAAGAAAACCCAAAATAAGTTTGAAACGCTGGAAATAAAGAAAACGATAAAAATTGACAAACTGTTTGTGAGAAAGACATTAAAATGTTGTAAAAGCCTAATAATAAACAAAAAAACCTAATCTTTTATAAAATAAATTACTTTTTTCTATTACCACAATTTATTGTTTTAAAGATTTTAAACTACATACATACAGGGCGATCCAAAACTCGCGTCCCAGAGATAAATGCCAAATAAGATAAGATAAGATTTAATTGCCAATTATTTTCTGACATTTCACCTTTTTTATGTCTATTTAATGTCACCGATGATCTTGTATATGTTTTTTCATAATTATTTAGTAAAGGCACAAAAACTTTGCCAATAAAAGTTACAAATAACGTTAAAAATAGTTCAATTCAGCCTAGCAAAAGAACTTGTAAAATTATTTTTCTAACAGAAATAAATAAAGAAAAAATAAAGAGCAAAATTTAAACCCTTAAAACTTTGAAATTTTTATAGATATGTATTTTTTTAAACATGTATCCTATGTTATTTGGTATTTATCTCTGAGAAGAGATTCTGAATATTTAAAATTGTCAATTTAAGCGATTTTTTTAACAACAGTCACATCATTTTCTCAAAATTAGAGTTTTGTCATAACAAATTATTAGAAAATAATTAAACTGTTTTTAATAGTATCATATTGATTTTGTTAATTTCTATTATTTATTTAAATCTCTGAGATACACAAGCTATTTTTTTAGTGTAGGTTTTTAGTGTTTTTTATTTCCTCACACAAGAAATTTTCCTCAAAGATTTTGAGTTCACTCAACAGTCAACACTTTGTTAATAAATTAAAAATTAAAAATAGTTATTTATTATACAACACGATAAAGAAATTGTTTAACTACGAGTGAAAAGGTTAAGTTTACGAGTGACGAAGTCACGAGTGGACTTTTTTCACGACTAGATAAACAATCTTTATCATCGTGTATAATATTTAGTTTTATTTTGTACTCACCTACCAGAATTTCTTGTACAAAATAAAGAATATAAACAGTAGATAAAAAGTACTTTATTTCATAGACGATGAAAGACTACTTTATCTACTGAAATTAGTTGATAAAAGCACTCTTTAACATTGAGTACAAAATAAAGTAAATTACCTAAGCAAAATAAACATAGAAAGTAATATTTTTTGTCATTCAATAAATTTAAATAATGAATTCAAGATTTTTTTCCTTCTTTCCTTCTGTTTTCTTTCTTTTCTTTCTTCCAATTAAATAGTATATTAAACTCGTGTTTACTTTCTCTTTTATGTATACACGTATGATCACAAGTCATTTAAGAGCGTGAAAATTTGTTGAGTGCCGCTCGCTGCCCCCTCCGCGCCTGAAAAAATCGGCGCCCCTGCCCGTTCAGTTCTTGTAGGGAGAGAGAGGTCGGTTTCAGGTACTCGCCTCTGCTGGCTGTCAGCCTCTTTCTAACACAACTTAATTTCAAAACCTCAATAGCGCGTCGGTTGTCGCGGAGGAAGGACGTCTTCTTCGACGCACTGTGTGAGCGACCATCTCGTTTATGTGACATTCAATCAGTGAACGTGTGCAGTGATTCTAGTGACCGAGGAAATAGAAATTCGCCTCTAAATGACCATGTGACAAGAATTCCCCAAACAATTCAACGGTGAGTTCTGTGATCCCCAGGAAATCGACTTTTTAATGGCCTAAACCGATTTTGAAACATGCGTGCGTACACATGCCACGACTATTTGGATTTCCTGTCGTAAAATCACCCGATCTAAAAGTGGCAACATCAAAGACAGGATATTGTTGAAAAAGGGGTTTCACAGCCGATGAAACGGACTACCAACTGAAAAGCTGACACGTTTGCCAACTTTAAATCAAGCTACACTCAACTATTTCGTTGTAAATCCGAGAAAAATAAAATTAAAACCGCTTCACATCCAACATGTGAAAAAACTCAGCTTTATTTTTGTCAGTTTGCGTCAGCGTCAGTCAAAGCTCATTAGAAGTGTTTCCCGCCAAAAATACCTTGAACTTTGATAAAGTACCAGAAAATTTTCCAGAAAACTATCAATAATAAAAATGTAATAGTTTGTCAAGATAAAGCAAAAATTTTAAGCCATGTAAATAACACTTTTATAACTGCTCTGTTGTTACAAACGGAATTATCTAAGATATCCCAACAGCAGTTTTATTGAAACTTTATATCGAATCGGTAAGTCATAAACGCTTTAATGTGTTTTCATAACAGCGCCCCTGACACGATTTACTTGTTATTTTGATAATTTAAGGCCTTTGTATTTTTCCGTGGATTTACGCAAATAGAAAACGTTAAAATCCTGAAAGATTTGTTGATTAAGTGATTAAATTCTTTCAAAACTGGCTGAAATGTTTCAAAAATGCAACTTAATAGGGACATACCAGTCTTTCTTTCCTACCAAATACTCCAGATTGCTTACCGTTGAATTTTAATAGGTCATAAATTTTAGAAACGATAAAAACGACACAAGAAAAGAATTTAGAACCTGCTTAAGTTAGAACTCGCCTAATTAAGTGGCTCATCTGATTATCAAGCGGAAAAAAACAAAGTTTTTTGAATTTAGAGAATTAAAAATTGTCTGTCATAAAATTGACAAGATTAACAACAGCTTTTTGGCACCATTAGGCACAGATAGGTGTAGGTATCTATAATGTGGGATCAAAGACGTTAGAATTGGGGAAGAATTGATGGTTTTCTGTCAGTGTTGGGAAAACCTCATTTATTATTTTTGTAGTTTTTTTTCTAATCATCTTAAAGAATTTGTACTCAAACGTTTTCAGTTAAAAAAAGTTATTCAACCTGTGAAGAAACTATTTACGTAGTTGTGCAGAAAAATAAATAATAATAATAATAAAATGAAAAAAATTAAAAATAAATAAAGTCATTATTTAAAATTAGAAATATTTTGTTTTATAGCCATAAGCGGTTAGGTTATGCTCAATGAAAACATTTTCAAAATGACGGCACTTCCTGATACACTGGAAATGGATATTATCTTTGTTATTTTAAATAAAAAGCTATGTTTTTTATTGCGTTTTTGGATTACTCATTTTGAGAGAGTTTTCATTAGCCTTCCCTATATCTAAGTTTAACCGTTTTCGAAATATTTAGACCTTTTTAAAATTTTTGAATCTTCCTATTCAAAAATCGGTAACTCTACCATTTTTTATTATGTTGAAACCGTATTTGGGTTTACGAGAGAGAAAGGTTAGATCTTTCCTTTGGTGTATTTATAATTAGAAAAAATATTAATAAACTACAAACACCCTTAACTCAATTTTTCTAAATGAAACTCCCCAATTTTTTCTTCACTAAATAAAGGAAAATTTAGTTCTGCTTCGGTCTGTATTACCATTCCCTATACCTATGTTTGATAGTTTCAAGTTATAATAACTTTTGATATTGTGAGAAATTCATTAGCCATAGCTAGGTTATCATAGAAATAGGAAAAAATAGAATATTAAAGTTATTCAAATTTAGATGAAATAAATTTAGTTTGTATTTACGAAAAGAATATGAGAATGAGAAATATTTCCATGGCAAATTTTTTCCATTGTAAAAAAAAAAGTCAAAATAAAACTTGGAAATCATTGAATTTAGGTACAGGGAATGTTGATACAGATCGATGCAGAATTAAATTCTCTTTCATTTAGTCAAGAAAAAATTGGGGTCTTCCATTTGAAAGAAATCAGTTATGGGTATTTGAAGTTTCCCAAACGTAACCATAAATTTTGGAGGTTTGTTAATTATTTTTCCAATTAAAATACACAAAAGAAAAGGCCTAACCTTTCTTTTTCATATGCCCAAACACGATTTCAAAATAATTAAAAAAGGTAGAGTTATCGATTTTTGGAGAAGAAGATGCGAATTAAAAAAATTAAAAAAAAAGTCTAATTATTTCAAAAACGGTTAAATTTAGGTATAGGGAAGTTTGATAAAAACTCTCTCAAAATCACTTGAGTATTCCAAAAACGCAATAAAAACTTAACTTTCTATTTAAAATAACGAAGTTGGTACCCATTTCCGGTGTAATCATCTTGAAATTTTTTCATTAAGCAAGATCTAGACTATTATAGCTATAATCAAAATTTTAGGTAAATATCACTGTTAGAACTCCCAATACTTCTAGTGTGGAGTTTAGTCGGAACAGCCTGTATACTATAAAGCGTGATTACCGTAAATCGAGGGTAAATCAATGCTTATTGTTTTCGTTGATTTGTGTAGAATGTTGTAAAACAGCAAGCACTTAATCCAGTTGTCACCACTTGACAGATGTTGGGAAAAAGCAGCATCAACAAGAAGCCGACGTCGGGCAATAATACCGATAGTTTATCGATAATTATTGTTTGTCGATGATTTGCAGCCGATGATTAAAATTCGCATCACGGTCTGCCTTTCTCGGTAGTCCGCATCCTGCCCCCGCCAGACCGTACCTAATAACTCAATTTATGAGCCGCGACAAGGCCGAAACTTCGACTTTCACGGAGATTTGGGTTCTAGGTAGGAAAAAGCCTCATTAACTGCGATGGACATGTGGCGTCGGACTCATTATACGTCGTTCCAAAAGAACCATTCATAAAATTGACAGATACAGATAAATTTAGATGTGTTGGCTTTCCGTATACATGTGGCATGCGTCTGGACGGCTGCTGGAGGGTGGGAAAGCTGATTTACGACCCAAATGTCGACGAAAGTGGCAATTGAACCAATTGAAACAATGAACTAGTCATGAAGCTATCTTCATTTTTTAAAGATCTTAACAGCAAGAGAAACAAATTTCAGAAATTTTACCTAAATTTTATTTTGTCTATTGACAATTTAAAAATACAATATTGAAATTAACGCAAGTGTTGTGAACTCTTTGGTCTAAATATAGATTGTCTCAGTTAATTAAAGCAGCTAAAAAAATTACTTCAAGGCTGTTTCGGCACTTTCACTCATTCTAAATGCCATTATTGCTATTTAAATTGTTTGTCCAGAAGTGTTTTTATTATTTTTGTGAAATGTTCGTATAAAAATAGGACATTTCGTGTTTTTGGAAGAATTGTACTTTTAGATGATGAAAAATACCACTAAAAACTAAATGGAGGGTGAACAAAAAGTATAAAACCAAGCTTTTTTTAAATCATTTGCCTTCATAAAATAATAATTTAGAAAAATTAAAGTGCAAGAAAAAATTTGATCGTATTTTGGAAATGAAATATTATTTAATTTTTGGTTTTGCGATTGTTTTTCAAAATGACAAATTATACAGAGTGGTTATAAATGATTTTCATCTAGCCAGCCTTGGAATTTTTTTGCATGTAACTTTATTTGTGCCGCTCTACTTTTTTTGAAAGCTCTAGTTCTGTCATTAGTGTCACTTATTATTTAATAATAAATTGTTGTTAATCAAAAATTGTTTTAACTAATTTCCATAATAATTGATAATAATGTATACTTTGGAAGAAAACAAGTTTATAATTGAAGTCTATTTTCGAAGTGGACGCTTAGTAAACGGCGATTTTTTAATTTTGAGTTAAAACAAGTAGGTACCCCTATTTTCGTAAAGCGGCATTTTTTATTTTACATGGAAAATTCACTTTGTATAAAAAGTTTTTTTTTTAATAAAAATTGCCTTGTAAAAAAAGGTTTTTATCCGCAAACGTCACAAAAGTGACCAATTTTATGTCTAATAGATGTTACAAAGTAAAAGTTTTACTTTTCAGCCATGGAGTAAAAACTCTATTTTTTGCGCCTAAGCGTTTTTATTTTTACCATGACATTAACAAAGAGTATAAAACCAAGCGTTTTTTTTTAAATCATTTGCCTTCAGAAAATAATAATTAATAAAAATTAAAGTGCAATAAAAAAAAATT